TCTGAACTATTCTAAGAATATTTTCTTCTTTCTCTTTCTGTATCAGTCTACAAAATAACTCTCAGCCTTACACTTCCAGATTTTATGTACACATATATATATTAAACGAGTACCTAAAAAAATGTATAAGATATAAGAACCATAACCATTTCAACCAAAAGTCCTCTTCGAAATAACTAAAGGTGTGATAACTAATCAAATAATAACGTCAGAAATGTTAAAAACAATGATAAAAACGATAGAGATGCATATGTTAAATAATTGAATACTGCCGGTATGGCACCGCCAAGTCTTAAATGACATTTAATTTCTTCAAAACTACATACCTTATTGATTTGAACTACATTTGTTGTACAATACTTATTCCAATGTTGTCCTCTAGATATAGCGGTAATTCGATGAAAGGGGGCCACACATAAAATAAATAGCTGAAGTACTTGGATCGAATAACATAGTTATTTCATCGGTTCGTATCGTAAGCTACCGCTATTGTACCGAAAACGGTTGACCTTTCACCATATTCATCTGTCAATATATAAAATAACCAGCCACTAATAGCCATCACCTTAGATCACTGATTTTAAAGTTTACAATATATTGCTGATATTAAAAAATATAATCGTATACAAGCAAAGAGTCATGGTCAACTATAATATAAACTAATCTGAAAGTATACGAAAATTTTTATTATTATTATTATTAGATATTTTAAAGACACATTTTAATCAATTTCGAATTTTGCCACCGCTTTAAAGGCACGAAAGCATCACTTTTCAATAATAGAAAACTGGCGTAATAAAGACATGAAAATCGCAATCATGCGGGCGCCATGGCGAACGAGAGTGGATTTAAAAAATTCCGAGAAAAAAAATACATAATAGAGTTTACAATGAACAAGTACGAGCGGGTCGAATTTCACGTATACACACAAATTTACATACATATGTAGATATACAAGTATTAGGGGGTCCGGTCGAATTTTACGTATACACAAATTTACATACATATGTACATATAAAAGTATTAGGGTGTCCGGTATTTACCAAGTTTCAGTTTTTGCCCGAAGAATAAGGTTCCAACATAAACAAACTGTTTATTTTAAATTGAAGCAATGCCTAAATGATTTTTCTTTTCCCATATATATAAAATGGGATTTTTTGATATTTTGCATTAAGTGAGTAAGTAAAGTAAGTCAAAATTGATATTCTAATTTAAAATTTTTCGCTCCACAAAAGAAGTTTTAATGATTTTTTTTCATAAAAACGTTCCTTAACAAGATATACGCGGTTGAGGTTATACACCAAATGTACTGAGCATTCATACAAGTGCCTTATACAAGTACATTTGGTGTTGCTCATACGACATGTTGTACTGCAAGTATATGAGTACAGTACATTTGAAGCATAACTTTAACTGCGTATAACTTTTTAAGGAATGTTTGTATGAAAAAATTACAAAGACCTTTTTCATAGCGCTGAAAATTTTGTGTTAAAGTATCATTTCTTTAAAGTTATAGATTTATTAACTTTGAAGATAAAAACTTTATTGCAAAAGATCAAAAAATATTAAATTGAAAATAAAGAACATGTTTCCGATGGATCTTTTTTATAGGACGAAAACTGTAACTTCAGAGGAAACTTGCAAAAAAACAATAAACTTTGAATATAACATATACCCTAATCTATATGCTTGTCTTACGCTGCAGTTTGCTTGTTCCTCACGCCAATTTTGGCGGCGTTACAAAAAGAAAACCATATTTGTTTGTCGCTTTCCCTAAAATATGTCCCCGGTTGACTAAATCAGAGCTTATGCAGGAAACCTAATAACACACACGTAAGACAGTCGCACACACAATCTGGTTGGAAAAAAATATTAAAAGCGGATGCTGCACGGTAAAAGCATAAAACTTACATATATATGTATTTAAATAGGTGTGTATGTATGTGTGTGTCTTTTATGTTAAAAAGCGTTTAAATTTTGTGCGAGTCGATTTTGGCACGTATTTGCATAAATAGAAAGTATGTACCAAATGTTTGTATGTATGTATATGTAAATTTGTGTGTGTTTATTACTACAAATCCGGTTGAAAATGCGTCACGCGCAACCCTAGATTTCAGTCAAACAGTCAGTCAAGTGACTCCAACTCGCTGCTAATAATAATCTGCCTTAAAAACCAGAATAATTTTCCCGGAATCAAGTAAGCGGAAAGTGGTACTCAAAAGAAAATATAAAATGTTTATGGTGACAATATCATAGAATATACATATGTATTTTAGTTGGTTAGAAGAAATCTAAAGCTTTATTCGTGTTAATGCTCTTTTGAAAAGAGGCTTAACCGCAATTCAAAGTGACACACACTGGCGTATGTGGCGTGTCTTTATAAGGGAATATAAAGTAAATGAATTTCAAAAAATTTTATCAAAATATTTGAAAGTTGTTTTTTTTTTGTCTTGTTATAGAAAGTTAATTTATTCTTTTTGGAAAATAAGAATATATATACTGTTTAGTCCACTCTCCGACAAACATTTTTATTCTAACAACGATGATGCCTCGATAGATCGTATTATGCCCCTTTGTTTTTATCTGTCCCGAAAAATTTTCATAAAATACTGCATTTCTAAAAGCAACTATATGTATAGCTAAAACTGAAACCGTAATAGTGCAACGGTTTTCATCTAACGGAAATCTTTTTCTAGCTATTTCTATCAACGTTGTTTGATATAAAACATTTTCTAGTCGTATTAAAAAATTGAATGGCAGCTATATTTTAAAATCGACTCAAAAATGTAAAATAATTTCGGGTAGCTGTTGCAAGTTCCAGCCACTGCAGCTGTGACTGCGGCTGAGCTGCAGTCTGCTCAATAAAATATTCAAATGACCGAGCGAGTGCGAATATTTGCGGTTTTGCTTGACAGCTTTCAATGGTCACAAATTTAATGCCCGTTCCTAATCGTTGCGAATGCAGAATCAATAAAAATTTGCAATAACTTGTGCACATTAACAACTCACTTATACTATACATGTTTTTTATTTATTTGTGTGTGCGTGGCTGTGTTCGATTACAAGATTATTACAACTTCTCCCATCATTTTAGGCGTGCGAGTTTTTGACACATAATTTTGTTAATATCATCCCTTTGTGACATTATTAGCATTTTTCACTTTATCGACTTCGAGCGCAACGTAATATTCAAATTTAATTTTCTGCTGTGTTGTTGGTGGGTTTTCTTCTTTAACCCATTTCCTTACTCTTCTTCTTTTCAACAAATTTTGTTTGCAGTGCCCATTTTTTACCGTTTCTGCGTGAAAATATTTATTTTAGTATAATCAATAGAGAGACTTTTTGTTAGTCTTGAAAAATTTATATTAATTAATTTATATTTTTCCGGCTCCTGGGAATGCTGTGTCATGTTGAGTATACGCAACGCTGGCGCATCGCTCGCAAATATTGCAGAATTGTTAAGGACGATTGTAACAGAAATAAACCATTTGTAATATTTTCTTGCCTTTTTGTGTACGTATTTTCATGTCGATCGGAAAAAGCATTTACATTTAATAATAAAGGATTAAAAAAATAAAGGATTTTTTGACCTGATTTTATATTTTGTTTTGCTGAACTTTTGTTGTTAATAAAAGTTGTTGTTATTTGCTTCTTTTTGTTAATATTGTACTTTGAACTATTTAGTACTTTCATGCTGTAATTCCCCCAACGCTCTTTGAAATTTCAGTTCTTGTTCTAAAAACAAGAAAGCAACGTAAACAAAATCTTTATTTTCAGTTTAAATCGGGCCTAAATTATATTTCTTTTCCCATGTATACCTATAGCATAGGATTTTTTGATATTTTGGATTAAGCAAATAAATCTACAACTTTGGAAAAGTAATATTCTAGTAAAAAAAAAATATTCGCTCTACAAAAAAGATCTTGTTTTTTCCATGGAGACATTCCTTTAAAAATTATACGCCGCTTAAATTATGCATCAAATGTACTAAGAATTCATACAAGTGCCTTATATTACATTTGGTGTTGTTCATACGGCATTGTGTACATGGTGTATTGTATGAATACAGAATATTTGATGCATAATCTTAAATGCGTAGGAGTTATCAGAAGAAAAAAAGCTTTATATCAAGGATATGTCCTCACCTTATCACCAGGTTGAAGTCGTAAACCCCCGAAAAAGGGGAGAGGCACGTTTGAGATCTTATACCTCCTAGTAAATAAAATCATTTCGGTTTTACTTGGGTTGACGGCATATCATCAGCATATGCTATCCCCCGACAGCCTTGTGCCTCGAGTTCTATAAGTAGGTTGTTTACCACCAAGATCCAGAGCAGTGGAGAGAGTACCCCTCACTGCGGAGTTCCACTGATAAATTCCAATACTGATAAATTAAAGCCAAATCCTAATATTTTTTATTAATATTTTTTATTAAATCACTCAAAATATTTATGTACATTTTTTTCTTTGAACAATATTTACATAACATTAGATTGGCTAAGTGTGCGAAAAGGTGTGGGCCCAGCAAATGGAAGTGAAATACAGCCGAACCAAAATATTGTTACAGGTGTGCAGTATACTATTGATGTTCCCTTCAACCAGCAAATATTTACTGAAAACCAAAGGATACTCATAAATGTTGCGCAAAAATATTTTAAAAAGAATTGAAATTTATAATTCATAACTAAAATTGGTGCTAGGCCTGCTGTACGTCACATATATTTGTGATACAATTTATAATTATTGTATTATAGAAACAAGAAGCTTAGTAGAAGTAAGTAGTATTTCTTTTTCGCTTTGGTGATTACTATTAGTCCTCAGTCTCAGGACTATAGTATTCAATCCATTTAGTCTCCACCCGACTTTTAAGGAGTCTTCGTGTGTAGTATTTCAAATACTTCAGCTATCGAATATTGTTATTTATATAATATTATATTTCTACATATTAAGTTAATATACGATATATATTTAAACATAATCCTTATATATTTTCTTCCGCAGATACGAATCGCAACGCCAGTCCTTCCGTTTCCGGTGATAAAAAGTACAGCTTGGTTAAAGCTGTTGGGTGTTGCAGTCACCAGCAGCAACAATGCCGAAATAAAGCCCAGATCTAGGTCAGCATGTAGATCATTAGTCCTCTATATATTTACTTCCCATTACTTTATGGGATGCTGTGTAAATAAATGGCTTATAAAGAATGTGCTCCAAATCACAGGTCACTCATACGCCTTGCCGCACGCAAAACAAAACTGTAAATTAACAACGCGTCCGACAACTATAATTTGCAATAAAGTAGCGGAGGAAGGAGGTGCGTAAGGTTCATTAGGCGTAAATTGTTGCAAGCAAATATGTATAAAAAAACACAAAAGCAAAAGGACAATAACAACAATAATAAGCAGCAAAAGCAAAAAAAGCTCGAAGACGCAAATGGCAACTGTTGACACAATCGCACCATAAAGACCCGAATGCAGAAGGGAATTGAAACGCACGTCTAACCGGTCTATGTTAATGGGTCAGCAAAGTTTAATGAACTTGCCACATAATAATTAATATTAATGAACTTAACATTAAATACCTAAGTTGAGAACAAAACAGAGAATAAAATCACTAATTTAATACAGCTAGATGTTGACACTGGTCTCGGTGAATGCGATTTACTTTAAAGTCAAATGCCTAAGTCCCGTCAAGGAGTTCTCAACTTAATTTGACGAGTTTCAGATAAGCGACTGACAAACGTTTACGCCGATGAGCGTGTCAATAATGGCGAGTTAGTGGATTTGGATCCGAAAGCTATTGAGTTGCGCTGCAAGAATTCGGATTTGTCAATATGAGTGCATTTGCCCAATAAAGTTGAGCGCTTAGTGGCGTTGGCTACCTAATCCCCGCTTGGGTGGTAAGATCGAAGTCATCTAACGGTAGACCCAGGAAAAGTGCTGTTTCGACGGGGTCGGACCATATTGCGCAAAATATTAGATCGTCGAGCGTATTGGTAGCGCAAGTGTTGACAAATCTTTGCAAAGTTTCGCATTGAATTCGGAGCGAATCTGAAGAAACCGCTGCTATTATTGCGGTAAATAATATTCAGCCTATATGTATACATGAACAACACCCCTTATATATTTCTTAATTAACAGTTGGGTATGGTAAACATGTTCAGCTAGACAACTGATTTAAGCAGCCTTTTTGCGGCAAGTCAACAACAAAAACTTTACCATGTCAAACACATAGTGTTCCTCGATTTGAAAGAGTTGCCGAGGCCACATGTGAGTACTTGGATTTGCTCTACTGATTTTATCTAAACTTTAAAATAAAAATAAATTTATTTTTATTGCAGTTATGAAAATCGTACATATGAGCCTGATTTTGGATTAGAGAGTACTCAAGACGGATCATCCATTTGTACTTTTTTTTTGTGCATTTAAAAAGCAATTAAATGTAACGTTTTGAAAGTATATCGAATATTTTTGTAAAACACTTTTTAATTTCATAAAAATTATATTAACTTAAATTTAAACTCATGAAAATCAAGCAAAGGTTAAGTTTTGCGGAGGTGTACTGGCTTCTTAGGTCAAGATCTCGTATAAGCCTAAAGAACAAGCTGTTCATTTATAAGGCAATACTAAGGTCAATCTGGTCGTATGGAATCTAAATCTGGGGCAGCTAAGCTGAATCAAATTATAAAATTATTAAAGCCTGTCAGAATAGAGTAGACCTAGTTTGGGTGCATCTTTCTAAATGTAAATCGACGTCCTCCATCGAAGCCTAAAGGTGCCTTTTGTAAAAGAAACTATTAATGAATTTTCTAGCTTTTACCTCTTAAACATCCATGAAAATGTACTGACAATCCAACTGCTGGACAGTAGTCAATGTGGAATATTTTCAATATATCACCTATTAGACTTTTGTACTTTGAAAACTACTCCTGTAGACCCTCATTAATACTAACTTGTATCTATAATTATACTTCAACAATTTTTTATTTGAAAAAAAATTTACTTATTGCCATTACAATGAGAAAGATTCTAAACAAAATGGAATATTAAAAAATAAAGCACAAAAAAAACGTAAGTTCGGTTACACCGAAACTATTATAATACCTTTCACAAATAAAACAATTTGTACGGGGTTTGTACCGTTGTCTTGAGCAGTCCATGCCAAATTTGGTGTAGATAATTTTTCAAATAAAAAAGTTTTCCATACAAGAACATGTATTAGATTCTTCAGTTTGTATGGCAACTATATGCTATAGTTCTCCAATATCAACAATTCCGACAAATTAGCAGCTTTTTGGGAAAAAAAGGGCGTGGGCTAAATTTCAGTTTGATATCTCAAAAACTGAGAGACTAGTTCGCATATACCCTTCTTCTATATGACCTTTTAACAGAAAAAATCGGTCAATGTGTGAAATGTATTATTGCAGTTCAAAGAAAATTATTTCTGATAATAATGTGCTCTCCTGTTAAAAATTTGTAAAATCGGATGAATACTCCCCTAGCTCCAATAAACCTAATACAAGGATTTTCAAACTTGCGGTTGACTTCATACTATATGTCGGTTAATATGTAAGATATCTTAGTAATATTAAGTTAACGTCTAGTATTGCATATACAATAGTTTAATGCCAAAAATGTGTGAAATCGATCCTCGAGTTACCCCAACCTTTGTAGTATAATGGTTTCGCAACATATTCTCGAATATACTTGAGTATAGCCAAAATTTAATATACTCAGTCGAGACCTTCTCCTAGCCCCAATATACTTGATCCCATGTTAAACCGTTTATGTTGATTAAAATGAATGATATTTTAATGAAATTGGTCTAGACCTTCGTTTAAACTGTATTTCCCTATTATAATGATTTCCGATTCTCTGTTTGATTTATGCAGATTATATCACATACATGGTAAATACTATGTTCCTTATTTGAAAACACATATATCTCGTTTAAAAATTTCGATTTTATTCATAAATGATTACATAACTTAGTTATACTGGTAATGTTCCTATAATAGATTTATAAACTCTTTAAAATGTTGTTAAGCGTTTTTAAACATGTATAACATAAACAGATATGTATTAACTTAGATGTAGAGCAATGAATTAATAAATGATTTAACAAATATATGTACATATATTAAACGTGATTAAAATAAACTGCATGATGTAATAAAATTAACTATTTTGTCATTTCATTTGGGATTTCTGGTAGTATTATCAGATTTATACGTAAGCTGTGCCAGTTATTTAACAGATAAATTAACCATGAGCACTACCCTAGTTGCGCAAGACGCGTATATATTGTACATCTCCGAATGCTGAAAGCTATGAGTACCATAAGAAAGGGATGAACAACTATACGCACATAAAAGTTTCGGTTAAACGTTAATAGAAATCTCTGCTAGCGCTATTGGGTAATTAGGTTAAGATAAATTCTAAATACCTCTAAACAATAAAACAAAAACGTTAACTTCGGCTGCACCGAAACCATAATATCCTTCACAGCTGCATTTCTTCTAGCAAGTATATGTATAATATTTATATAAATAAATCTGTATTCATACCTTTGCCATGGGCAACAACCTATGCAAATTTTCGTGAAGGTACCTTGTCAAATAAGAAAATTTCCACAAAAGGACTTAATTTTCGCCAAACAGTTAGATCGATTTCAGATCGATGTCTCAAGCACTGAAGGACTAGTTCGCGTATATACAGACAGAAAGATAAGCGAACGGATATAGCTAAATAGACTCAGCATGAAAAGCTGATAATTTCTATATGGTATATATAGGTACTTTATAAGGTCTCCGGCGTGTGGGGTTTCAAACTTCGTGGTAATCTTAAAATACCCTATTCAGAGTATAAAAATATCACACAAAAAAACTAAAGGGTAAATTAAACCAAATTTCAAAAAATATCGACAAATAATTACATATATATTGTGTACTCAACAAGCACTTAGTAGTTTAAAACTGAAAACAACGAAAGAGAAGAAACGTTGTTACGCACAAATAAGCGACGACAGAATCAACATTGTTCGGGTAAATAAAGGCAAAGAAAACGACCAACGAATGAATGTTAAGTGTAGCAATTGGGAACCCAATGGTATATTAAGCACTTATGTTGCAAATCACAGATTACATATACCATACATAATCTAGAGACAGTTGCGAACTTCGATGGAATAATTTGTGAATAACAATAGTCTTCTTTGCGATTTAATTTGCACTGATGAAAACTTTAAAAAATATATTTTCTTGAAAATTCGAACCAACTGTTTCCACAATCGTAAATGGGCAAAACCATTCTTATATTATATAAACTCAGTAACTTGATTACAAAAATAGTTCCACTTCAAAGCATTAGATACACTACAATTTTAGTTGATCTGTATTTTCACGCTAACGGAAGTCATATTCATTAGCTGGCATAATTAGCTAAGCTTACAAGTTGCAAAGTGTTACGAACAACCCGTAAAAGTGAATATGGCCAGAGACCTATCTAAGCTGAAGTTCGTCTCTTACTTCTTGCTTTTACTACAAGCATTACCGACGATTGTGGCGCGCATATGGGATGGGAATATAGACGAGGACCAAGGAGTAGAAGATATGGCTATGGATTACTGTGTTTGGCTCTTGAATTTAACCAGAGGTAAGTGGCTCTGATTTTCAACTATCTAATGGCCACTGTATTGGTTAATATTTGTATATTTACTTTTTTTCTTCAATGTATTGGCAAATGAAGAGGACTTTATTTGTGCTGCCAAGATTGATCCGATTTTTAATATATTTTTATGAAGAGCTGCACTCGGCTAATGAAGTCTGTTTACAATGTAATTATAATATTTCATCATTTTATTTATTAGAAATTAATTTGTTTATTCTATAGGCATTTCCTTATCGTAAATATAAATTATTGCCTGCTACATATTGTCATAAATCTCTACCTTAATTATATATTTTAGCTGTTTTCTAGCTTTTTCTTTCATTTTAATGACAAATGAGCACCTTCTTGGTGGGAAAAGAACAGATGCAAAATTTTAGATCGGTATCTAAAAAACTGAGGGACTAATTTGCATACATACAGACAGTTAAACGAACAGACAGACTGACATGACTAAATTAACTCAGCTCATCATGCTGATCATTTATATATTATATACTCCTGTTTTATAGTGTCTCAAACGTTTTCTGCTGGGTGTTACAGACTTCGTTGCAAACTTAATATTCCCTGTTTAGGATATAATAATTAACTCTTCCGAACTCTCGCAAGGTAAATACGGCATTGAGATTCTTCATTCAAGTAATTTTCATCTTATAAAAACTTTAAAAAATAACAAACACAAAACTTTAATATTTTTATCCAAACGCAAAAGTCATATTTTTCCACCAAGTGAACCAAGAATTATAGCGCACCTCCAAGTGTGCTCTTTGAAAATTAAAAAAAAAATGTTTAATGAAAACTTTCTTTTGGCTTTACTAAGGTTGGAGACGAGTTAATGATAATTTTCTGGTATCTCCATCTAAACGGCATTACCACTTTAATTTATTACCATTAGAGAGTTAGATAGATAGCTTAGGAGGATACATTTTGATGTTCAATCCTAAAGCCTTTAGAAATTCTAGTAAGCTCAATTGACTAATTGATTTAATGCAACTGCATGACTCGTAAATGTGTCAGCCTTATTCTAGCCACAACATCGCTTTTAACAATACAAGTGTATGCACTTGTGTCTCCGATTTTAGCTCACAGAAGCGATAAGTTTCGTCAGAGCTTATTCTTATTATGTGAAAATGTTTGCGTAGTCGGCAGTGTCCTGTAAGAAATATTGTTAGTATTCTTAGTTTTTTTTTTTTACTAAATAAAGTATTGTTTTTAAATCATGTTTAAATCTTCTGGTCTTGTAGCCGTCTATTATTGGCTTCGATTATCTTATTCCGTCACTACTATACCAGTATATATATCTTATTATCTTTTCCTCGTGTTTGAGCTCCTCTGTTATCGAGTGAGGGTCTATTGGGAAGAAGGGCTCTGGTTCCGTCGTCACGGCCGAAATCTAATCTGACAGTAAATATGTATGCTTCAGCACGTAGCTTGAAGTACTTTCGGCTTCCTTTCGCTTTAAACGAATTTTCTACTCGCTTAGCGTCAAAACAGTCACAGTACAATATTATACAAACACACGCACTCATACACTCACACATCTTCAATAAGCTTGAAAATGTGTTAAATAATATAAATAAATTAGTTTTAAAAGTAGCGGTGCTTTTCATACATACAGTACACCATGTCGTATGAGCAACACAGAATGTATAAATCACTTGTATAAATGCTCAGTACATTTAATGTTATACTTATAGTACATATATAACTTTTAAGAGAGTGGCTTTATGGAAAAAATTATTAAAAACTTTTTGTAGAGCAAAAAATTTAATTTTTGAATGTTACTTTTTCAAATTTGTAGATTTACTTGATTAATGCAAAATATTAAAAAATTGCATGTTATACATATACTTGATAAAAGAAATATAATTAGACGTAACGTATTGGAAAAACTCAAACTGATCTCATATGTACACGTGACTGAGTGAAAAAAATAAAAGTTTTGCGCTATTGTTCGAAATTACGAAAAAAAAGTTCTAGTAAAGTTTGAGCACTTAATATTAATATTAACAGGTGGCGCATTGTGATTTACGATTTCCCATATACCATAAATAACACAGGTATATTTGCTTATTTTGTGTGAATTCGAACAATTTATTTTATTGTGAAAATGAAAATTTGTTCTTGTAGGAAATTTAACGATCTAAAAGAAGATCCAACAAGAATTTTTTGCTATATCGACTCGCTCTAAAGTTAGTCGAAGTCAAAGTCCAAGCTTAGATCGTAAAGGATAATTTTTATTGACTAACAAATAACTAGCGCTTTTCCACACAAACATAGTCTAACAACAACAATAACAACAACATTTATTTATAGTTAAATTTCATAAAAGATTTATTTGCGTATTTTAAATAATTATACAATAGTCGTTTTATTAAAAACGTCTTTAATTATAAATTAATTAAGTAATTTTCCTAAATTAGCAGTTTCTGATGTACGAGTATGTAGCAAAATGGAATTAAAATTTCGTTTCACTTCTCTTTCTAAACTTTTTTTTATAACAATACGACGTTTTTGCATTGGAATTGGCAAACAAACAATTTCACTAATATATATGTGTATGCTTAAACAAGGTATGTATATAAACAACAGACTGCGAGTACATACTTTGAGCTAAAAAAAATCGTTTCATTAAAATCTTCGAAAGCAATTCGATAATATTTCTTGTCTTTGTTCATAAAAACGCCTCTCTTCCTACCACTCTCTTTCTCTCTCTCTCTCTCTCTCAATTGCTAAATGTGTACACATAACGCACTGTACATACTACTGTATACATATATACCACTAAATATACTAAACTACTTTTGCCGAATTGACTTCAAATGCTGTTGCAATTGCTCGCAACGTTGGCACTCCTTGGTCAGCTGTTTTACAGCGGCCGCATACTGACGCTGCAACTCGAGTAGACTTTGTAGCTCCGCGTTGAGCGCATCACGTCGTGCACATTCCTCGTTGTACTTCTGACGCACCTTCTGTTCGGTTTGCTTCACGCCAGTCACAATCGCTTCGAACTGCTTGATGAACTCTTCACGTCCCTGCACACTCGTCATTCCCTCATTGTATGCTTCGCATATGGAATTGAGTAGTGAGAGTTCTTTTTCGAGATAACGTTTCTTGTCGTTCAGCGTGTTGAAGAGCGTGTAGTATTGCTTCGTCTCTATGTGTTTGGCACTCACTACAAGAAAGTAGAAATAATTGATTAGATATAATTCGACATAGTTCACTTTTATTAAGCGCTTACTTTCATTGTGTAGCTCATGAAACCGTCGCTGATACTGTGTTAGCTCCGTACGATCGGGTATGGCATCTAAACGTCGCTGCATGACCACAATGCTACGATTCTTTTTAGCTATCTGCAGCTTCAATTCCTGTATTTGTGCTTTCTCCTTTGAGATGGCAGCTTCTTGTTCCTCCGGTGTTTGTGCATTGAAGGCTTCCAGTTCGCTAATTTGAAATAGAAGAGATTTTGTATTTAGAAATGAGATTTTAAAATCTTTACCCTTCAATAAATATAGTGATTGAAAGTATACTAATTTTAAAATCTCAATTTTTAGAAACGAGTTATCTTTTAGAACGGTTTTCAGTTATATTTTATGGATTCACAACCTTAAACGGCTCTTTAGGGTCTAAATGGGGTTCTCGAGAATCGAGAAAGCGCCATTTTCGAAAAAGGAAGAGGAAACATAGTACAATATAGGTATATAACGGAAAGTAATATGAAAATGTTTAATCTAGCCGATTTTGTTATAGAGTTGCCACCTTAAGAAAATAGTACAACTGAAAATACTACACAAGTTAAAATTATTCTGGATATCTTGAGTTGAAACCATTTTGGAAATAGAGTTGCCACTTAGCATAATATAACAACTATAAATACTGCTAAATGTTTCCAAACCTAAATCGTTAACTAAAAACTGCCAAAATATGTTCTAAAAATCTCCAAATTTGATTTGAGTTGACATTTATTGAGTAAAACTGTACGAAATTTTATGAAATATATACCAAAGGTAACTCGTTCAAGAGAATATTGTTAATATCTTTAATTTAGACAATATTTTGCAGTCCTTGGTTCAATATAAAACTAAAACCGAAGAGTAACCCTGCCGAAGCTTACTAGAGTTTTCGTATATATGTATACACATATATATAGTTTTTTTCTATATTCTATAGTGCACCTTCAAATAACAATACAATCACATTTCGCTAAAAACCGTTAGAAAAACTTACTCAATCTCCTTTTGTAAATTGGCCAAATCTTGGCGACAGAACTCTTTGAATTCCGCTTCCTCCTTTTTTAATTGGTCATGCTGTTTCAGCATATCGTGCACTTTAGTAACAAGCCTGCAATTATCAAAATCACTTTATCTCTGAGATATTACCATTTTTTATTATTTCACTCACTCTGGATCCGCTTTCGCTTCAATTGCTTTATACTGCTCGATTTCAGCTTCCAATTGTTGTTTTTGTTCCACATATTGTTGCAGTTGTTGCTTTTGCTTTTGTAATTCCGCCTCAATTTCTTCATTCTCTTTGAGATTACTTTGAACTTTACGTTCTAATGCCACTTTCGAAGCTTCAAGCATTTTAATTTGACTGTGTTCCGATAATTGTTTGGCATCCGTTTCCATTTCCTGTTGTAGTTCAGTGTAGTGCCTATGCATTGCATTGCGTTCGCTAGCATCAAGTCGATGTGTTGGCGAGCAAGTGATATGCTAGAAGTGGTGCGAGAAAGACAGTTATTTTTTTATTCATCTTATGATTATTATTATTTTTTTTTTATTCTATTTTTACCTCTTTTGTTAAGGAAAGATTTTTTAGCAATTTCTGCACATCGAACTGCGAAATAAATAGTTAACAAATGCGCAACACACAAAAGCAAAATCAACGATAGTATGCACGACCAGTCAAAAGTTTGAATATGCAAAAAAAAAAATAAAAATCTTATTTAAAAAAGCAGTTTAAGCAAAGTAGCAGTTGCAAAGTAGTATATATGTATGACACAATAATAAACAGTGACATTTTTTTGTTACTTAAAGCATATTTTCGAATGTTATATACCTCATCGGTCGCACCAGCACGGTTTTCATTACTCGTACTCGCCGCCGTCGCACAACCGTACTCTAGCAAAGTCATACGCACGCGCGTTTTTTCATCTTCATTCCCCGCATCTTTGCGTTGATACGCCCGTACAGGGTTATAAAGTTCCTATTGAGAGAGATGTTTTAATATGAGACACATGAAAGCTGTATATAATATTTTAGAAAACAGTACTTGAATACGCTTAATATGCGCTGAAGCATTTCGTATCTTCGCTAGCTGCTCTTTATCCGTTTTATATTGGTAGTGATTGTGGAATTGCCCTATGGCAAACTTTTTCAGTCGTTGTGCACGCTCGGCACGATTTTCAACCTAGAAATCAAGACAATAAATAATTTTTGTTAACTGTAATATTCATTATAATTAAGCTTACTGATTTTTTAACCAGCCATTGTATAACCGGATGTATGCTAAGAAATTCGAGTCCTTGTATTTGATGTGGTTCTATCTGAAAAGGACACTTCATTTGTGGCAAGACAGACACTATTTTTTCAACGAGTACGCTGTGGAACGAAATTGAACAATATTCGAAATATAAATACAAATAATATAAACAAAAACAAAATGTTTGTATACTACAACATTACATTTTTTGGCCTATCGTTAAGTTTTCGTGGAACAATAAATCCACATTAACATCGTAATCACAGCATTCGATGCACCAAGTCATACCACCGACCACTTTATCAAAGGGCGATAAGCCTTTGATACGTGCCCGATAATAGCCAGCCGCCACCAGCATATCAAAGGTTTCTTGCTCCTTCGCTGTAGCGTCTACATCTTCTCGTCTCTCCACCTTTGCGTAGAAAATATGAGACCAAAATTTTATTGTCCATTGGCACTTGAGTGGTATTAATAATTAATTACTCACCTGAACTTCACGTCCTTCGGCATCAATACGTGTGGCCAATTTCACGTTTGGCAAATGTTTCGAGAATATATCACGATTGGACGCCATGGTAAAACGCCCACTTTCATTACTTGTACCCTAACTTTAATTTTAATCAGCACCAGCTAATTTATCAACAAACTTTTACAAAAACAGACTGATTGGTAAAAACTAAATTGTTTTCTAATTGAACTGTCAGTCTAATCAGCTGTGACAGTGCGGTGGTTGGTATATGGGAAACAGCTGTTTAGGGGTACGACTTTAAATGAAAATATAAACGTTGAATTTAATAAGAGAATTGTTTTTTAATGATTGCCTAAAATCGCGTGACATATATCAGGTATATATTATTAACGAGTTAATACTTTCTTCAAATTACTACAATTTAAATTTTTTTATCCGAAATTCGAAAAGTGTGTAATGAAATGGTTAAAAAGTATTTCAAAAGTGCGATGAAAACAAATATATATCAAAGCATTCAATTTTGAAAAAATAAATCTCAAATTTGATGGGTTTTTTTCTCGGCCAGAATTATAGTGCGTTAGCAACCCTAACGTGAGTTCTTCCTCTCATTTTTCACTCATTCCACATGTTTATTGTTGTTATTTTCCGCAATTTTCTTGAATGGAGTGGCGTCTAGCCGGCAAAACGTGGGTGCTTATTTAAACATATAACAAAAAAAAAAAAAAACAGAAAACTTAGTGTATGTTAAATAAATTAATGTAAAAATATAAAGTGCAAAAGACAAAGTGAGAAACAATGCCTTACATTTGCTTGCTACAAGAAGGCAATGAAAGTCTGCCAAAACTTTTGGAGAAAGCGCAGCAAAATGGTTATGCGGTCATAGCGGCTCATATAAACACCACCGAAATCCCATTCGAATACCAGGAAACGCCCATGTGTGACAAACAGGCAGAGTTCACATATCCAGACTTAGTATTCCCTTCGGATCACTGGAATGGAAAAGTAATAAATGTACTCTCAGACACCATAGACTGTGATGCTGAAGACATGGTTGTGCGCCGTAATGCTGAAGAAGTGCTAAAACGTGATATTTCATGGGCGGAACATTTACAATATGGTGGTTATACAATGCTGCGTTTAAAATCTGAACGTAATCTTAATATGGCACGCATTGCGTCAAGCAATGTGAAGGGTAAGTTCTTAATTTTTGTGCACCACTAAAACTAAATGTATATGCTGTGCATATTCGATATTCATAGGATTGCTGCTCGTACAAGTGCCGTTGTATAATTCAATGGAAGCTCAGGCTACCTGGCTGCGTGATATTGATGATGAAGAGTTGGAACGTATTGGAGAACAAGATACATGGCATTGGTGGAACAACTTTAGATGGGCGGCTGATTTCAATCCTAAAATAAAAGTGGTGCTCGAACTGAGCGAAAGCGACCGACCATCCTTAGAAGTAGTACGTCGCTGGTTAGGAGAGCCAGTCGAAGCAGTTATAGTGCCCTCAACCATGTTCATTTGCAATCGTCAAAATTATCCCGTGCTGCCAAAAGCGTGGCAAGAGATTTTATCATATTTCATGCGTGCACGCATTAATGTCATTATTTCGTCCGATGTTCATGATAACAGTCTGAAACTATACGCAGAGTACATGCTACGTTTTCAAGAAATACACGCTGATACACACGAGTTGCAAGCGTAAGTTTTTTCTAAAAAAAAATAATTTGAACGAACTATAAACTAAATGTATTTAATTAGTTTCGAAGATGTGCTGGAAGAGCCACTACAACCTTTATATGACAATTTGGATTGCTACACATATGAGGTATTCGAAAAAGATCCGGCTAAATATAAGCTTTACCAAGATGCTATCGAGCAGGCGCTGCTTGACCGCGTTGCCGATTCGGAAAAGAAACACAAATTGGTAATATGCTTCTATGAATTAAACAACTCAAATTATGTTTAATTATAAATACCATCTACAGACGGTTATTATGGTGTTGGGAGCAGGCCGCGGCCCACTAGTGCGCTCAGCACTTAATGCAGCAGAAAATACGGGACGTAAAGTGCGCGTCTACATTATAGAGAAAAATCCCAATGCAATACGCACACTTACGGCCATAGCAAAAAAATTATGGAGCCATAAAGGTAAAAAATGTTATTAATGTGTATTAAGCACACTACATGCTATTAGTTGTACGTAGATGTGCACATTTTCTCCAAGGATATGCGTGAGTTCTCGCCACCCGAACCAGCCGATATTTTAGTATCCGAATTATTGGGCTCATTTGGTGATAATGAACTATCACCAGAGTGCTTAGATTGTGCACAAAAATTACTAAAAGCCGATGGCATAAGCATTCCCTGTAAATCTACCTCATTTATAAATCCGATAATGTCTTCGAAACTGCTAAATGGTGTACGCCAAGTATTGCGTCACGAAACACACGGCCGTCAAAAGCAAGCCACCTATCATACACATGCTGAAAGCGGTTTTGTAGTGTTACTCAAAAATATTTTCAATATCGGTTTACCACAAGCGTTATTTGAATTTGTGCATCCGAATCCGCAAAAACCAATTGATAATAGTCGCTTTAAAGCTTTACGCTTCGAAGTGACAATAGATTGTGTGCTCACGGGCATTGCGGGCTACTTTGACACAACACTCTATAAGGATATTCAGCTGAGCATTAATCCGCAAACACATACGCCTGGCATGTTTTCATGGTTTCCAATGTACTTCCCCTTCGCGGTGAGTTGTTATTGATTTATATATTTATTTAATGCTAATTATTTGCAAAAATTGCAGGAACCCATGGATGTGAAGAAAGGCCAAACGATTGAAATTCATTTTTGGCGTTGTGTTACAAAACAGAAAATCTGGTATGAATGGTGTTTGGCTTCACCCTTTCGCACACATATACACAATCATGGCGGTCGTTCGTGCCCAATCTACTGTACATAGACACCTAAGTAGATGGTTGTTAAATAAGTAATCTAAGCAAAAAATATTGACACCTATAATTTGAAAAATTTATAATTTACATGTTAAGTTGTTGAAAATTAACAGTTAGTACTCGCTCAGAAATGTTTGTATTTTTTTTTTTACAGTTTATGTTTTGCATACTGCTCTTATTCGAAAGCATTTTTTTTTTCAAACTAAAACGCAAAGTTGTAAAAATACTATTTAATTTTATACTAATCAAAGTTTGTTTTTCATGAAAAATTGTATTTAAATATATGCCAAGCATAGCATCCTTTTAGGCTATTGTTCAATAAATTTTTACTATTTGAAAATATACCGTTCGACAGTGTAGGCATACATACACAGCATTCACAGGTTAAAATAAAAAAAGTGCTATAAGGGAAATTGTAAATCATGCTTTTAAATTGTTTTTGAAGTTTTCACCCGATTTTAAACATTTTAGGCTCAAAGATGCACCGATACCGAATTTGGTTGAAATCGGTCGAGTCGGTCCCGAAATATGGGCTTTCACCTAAGTGTGGCCGTAATAAGATGTGCTATACAAATTTAATATTTAATTTATTTCTTCAATTTGTACATTATCTTCAGTCGGAGCAGGTTAAGGTACAGCGGATATTATGGCGTTTTTCCACCCTTCTGCGACCTCTAGCGGCCGGAGTATATAAGCTAGATGGGTCAAACAAATTGCACCGCCTAGCACCAATAGGGGCGTGGCAATTGACCAAAAAACACTTTGGAATTTAACGTGTCACCCTTTTGCGGCCTTTAGCGCCTAAACAGGGTGAGCTAAGATGGCGACAACTATTTGATTCATGTAGCCGCACAGATGCACGTTAATTAGAGACATCAATCTCAGATATAGGTTGAACAGGTGAATGGCAATCAACAAAAAAGTGAAATTTTCAAAATTTCTACTTATTGTGTGTTTTGTGTTTCCAGTTAAGGGGGTATATGAGCGGGGGCGGGAGATGAAACCAAGTGGATCATCTAGAGGACACTCAAGGCTTCCATTATCACCATCAACCACCCGCACCATGGGATCAGCACCGCCATGAGTGTACATAAACAACGAACTCTGTATGGAATACATGATATTCTCAAGTTGTTTTTTATTGGTTAGGAGATATGTTGATCGCTGCGATGACAATTTCTTTTCCATTTAATATTTTACTTTTACCCAAGCTACCCAATTTCAGTCAAACTAACTGTATGTGAAATGGATTTTATAATGTTCAATGTATCGCATTCATTATAATAGATCGCAACAGCTCCTTCCTTGCTTTGATTGTTGCAATCTCGTTCTGCAAATATTTCCGTTGTGCTCTATACTCTCGACTTCTCTGTGCAGGTGTGTTTGCTGTGCTTGCTTGATTGAATGAATTATTACGCACAATAGATGTCTCATGGTCCAGCAAAGTACTAGTCGCAGCTTCAGTTCCAATTTGATATTGTATTTTAGCCTTATTTCGGATTCTAAATTCTCGACAACGCTCGGCTGATGTTTTTGGAATTTTCTTGTTTTTTTTATTACTGCATTATCACTATAATCAGTAAATTGTTCGTGTACTGTATTTTCAACGAGATGTTGTGAGGGCAAATATGACTCTGGCTGATGGATGTCAGCTTGAACAATAATTAATCGATAATTGTCATCATTTTGTAAATTTTGAGTACCATCTTGACGATGAATATATTGACGAAACTGAACACGGCTATTGCCCACTGAAATATCTTCATTAGCGATTGCATTTTGTTGCGATAATTCGTCATTCATAATACACACATTGTCGTTGGTTGGTTGAAGAGCTACACGCATTCGGGTATTGGTTTAGAGCAGATTTCCAAGCATTTTTTCGTGCTCTGTATTCTCGATTACCATATAGACACACATACACAGGAACAGATGGACATGGCTAAATCGACTCAGTTCGTCACACTGATCGTATATATTTATACCTTAGAGGGTTTCAGACGTTTCCTTCTGGATGTTACAAACTTCGAGGCATACTTAAAGGTTATAAAAACAGTCAAAGTAGCTGTAACATAATGAGCAAGAAGTAGTCGTCTTCGATTTATAAATGCTCCACTTATCATTTTTATAGAAGTTTACAGGCGAAAGCAATAAAAAAGTAATCAAGTTAAATACGATATTATAAAGTATATATGCAGATGATCCATTAAGTGGTACAATAACTCACTTTCTTATTTAATTTTTATTATTATATTCGAATTCTCTGTTGTGTTCGATTCGCCACTTACTAGGTTTAATAAATCAACTATCAACGTACATGGTATGTACGAGTAATTTACAAATGTGGTGTAGTCCTGTAGTGCATGCGTTGAGGCGCCTTTCAAAATTGCAAGCAATTTTTGGCTTCTTCATTTTAACGGTAGGAACTTGGGAAGAAGATTCCTTTATTTTGAAAAGCAGTTTTCTAAAGCTACTGTTTCGGAATTTACGCTCCTAACCTATAAATTACTTGTACAATTAATGCAGGTCTCTAACGCAGATCAGTGTTTGTGTGATTAGTTTCCTCAAGTGAAGTTAACGGCTTCGATGGGCGAATTTTCAACAGCAACAAACGTTTTTTTAATGAAAACAAGTGTTTGTTTTAAATAATTTTTTATTATGTTAGACCTTTTTATATTATATATGTAAATACATATATAGTATGTCTTTATATAACTACTATTTAGACATTCTTTTTTCATTTGCCGTTATTTTCTGTAATGATTAATCTCAATTTTCATAGTATTTTTTTCTTTTGTAATCAATTTTCTGCGTGTGCCTTTGTGAGTGTGTGTGTATGTGTTAAATGTTTTAATAAGCAAATTATTTATATACCAGTTTTTCAAACTTTTAATGAATTCGCTTTAAGAAACACGTAGGTCATATATAAATATACGAATGCATATACATTTATATCATTTATCTTTCATAATTATTATTGTTATAATTATGCATAGCAAAAAACATTGTGCACAACACGACGCCGCCCGAGTGGCAAGGCAACGGGTGTTCCGGTTACTCTGTGCTATATGCGCCTCCATATTTCGCTACTTTTTTTTTAATATATATATAAATATTCAATTAATACAACGTGGCGTTGAGTAAAGTTTTTGAAAGCACATCGCATCTAAACGCTGCTGGCATAATTTTTTTTTTATTGAATTCGCATAAATAATTTTTTATATTTTCAAACTACTATATTTATTTATTTTTTTTTTTTATTATTTATATGTTTGAATGTATTATAAATCTGCTTATTGAACTTACGAATATATTACAAGCAAAATTTGAAATTACGTAAGCAGAGCGTGTAGACGCGCCAATTTTTTTTTAATTATGTATTTTTTTTCAATTTAATAATTTTTTTTGCAAATTTATGTTTTATTATTAGTCAAATATTTTCATTTCGAAGTACTACTATTTTCATTAGTTTTTTAAATGATTTATATATAATGAAAATTTTGTTAGTGTTAGCCTTTTAAAATGTTTCCATTATTATCCTTTTTTTAATTATCTGTTTATATCAAAAATTATATAAATGAGTTTTTCATCATAAGTGTGTTCACAGTAGTCAGTTTATTTACGGCATTACAATTATCAAATTACATAAATAGAAGATATAGCAAAATTTTAAAATGTACACAGCATGAAATTTCAATAATAACTGTTTAACTTTTTTACTGCAAACACTTTGTTAGTTGTGTCAAAAATTTCAGCTCAGTCAACTTGAAAATTGTTATAAGCACAGCATTTTTATTGAAAATCTTTACAATAGTCCAATTAATATTTGTTGAAAAAATCGAATTATCATCAAGTTTTTATGGTAAGCAGTACATATGTCACCAAACTCCAATAAACATAATTAAGCAGCATTCTACATGTTAAAAATTCATTTCGAGTGTTTACAATTATTAGTTAATTAAATATTGTTTCTTTTAAAAAAGCGAAGGCAATTATTTTGTAGCATAAGCGAAATAAATTTAAGCGGAACTGGTTTAATTGCCACATAGTTAAAACAGTAAATAGGAAAATTAAAATATTTATTAAAAAAAAAAAAAACTCACATATGCATACATATATGATTGTATATTTATTGCTATGCAACCAAATATACTTTCTTCTTAGACTTTTTACTATATAAAATCGCTATGATTGAACAATTGAATTGAGTTTTGAGAGATACCCACACGTCGGTACTTTTAGTTGCTATTATTATACATTAATTAAAAACGTAATTCAAAAACCAAATAAATAAATAAAAATTATAATATATAAAAAAAAAAAAAAATTAAATAATATATAAAAAAAAAAAAATTAAATAATATATAAAAAAAAAAAAATTAAATAATATATAAAAAAATATTATAAAAAAAATTATTTAAAAAAATTATTATTTAAAAAAATTATTATTTAAAAAAATTATTATTTAAAAAAATTATTATTTAAAAAAATTATTATTTAAAAAAATTATTATTTAATAAAATTATTATTTAAAAAAATTATTATTTAAAAAAATTATTATTTAAAAAAATATAAAAAAAATTAAACGAATATGTATGTATATAAAAATAAATAAAAAATTGAACAAAAAAAAACAAAGTCATTAAAAAAAATATAAAAAAAATATTGTATATAAAATATAAAAATAAAAAATTAATAAAATAATAAACAAAATAAATAAAAATAAATAAATAAAAAAAAATAAAAAGCAAAATAAATACAAAATATAAAAAAAATACAAAATTAAAAAAAAAATTGCAAAAAGAAAATTTAAAAATAAAAAAAAATTATTTTTAAAATATATATACAAAAAAAAAAGCAAAACAAAAAAATAATAAATAAATAATATATGTATGTATGTATATATAAACAAATATTAAAAAAAAACAAAAAAAAATAGAATAAAAATTAATTAAAAAAGTGTTTGAAATATATAAAAATTAAAAAAAAAGTTTAAAAAATATATGTGTATGTGTATATATTATTTGAAAAAAAATATAGTAAATAATATAATAGTATTAATAATTAAAAAAAAAACGTAACACAAAATTTTAAAATTAATAAATCAAGTATGAAGTAATGTTTCCAAAATATAATACCTTATTTGAGCAAGTATCCAAAGGCACAAATTGAACTCAGCACTGCATGCACGCACCAGCAAAATACATTTGTTGGAATTTTGCGCCAGGCAAAATTATGCTTTTGCTGAACAAATATGGTTTTCCTCAAACACAAAACAAAAATTTAAATATTTAATTCAATCAAAATTATTCACGACCATAATTTCTAAATAAAACCGTGCGCAGACAATGTTTCACCAAATGCATGAAGTGAAATTCACCACTGCCGCATCGAGCTGAAAAATGAGCACAACAAAAATA